TTTTTCTTTTAACAATGACTTCAAATTGTAACATGAAACTACATTCATTTATCCTAAGTAGCTTTAAACTCTTAACAGTATACATCTATTTATACTTAAATTTTATTGTTTTATTGCCCTTTGAACTATATCTAACAACAACTATTCATGCCATTATAAGTTGTAAATCACTTGGGAAATGTGGAACTCCCGTTACACTGTCAAATTACACTACCCATGAGCTACTCCAAGTTGCTCATGTGTATGCCTCATGAAACATTTTTATTATATTATCATCTAACCTTCACTAACCTAAAGGGATCCCTATTTTTTACATTTGAGTTACTTTTATAATAATAAGTAAAGAATACACATGAAAAACAAATAAGGTACTTACCAGGGTCTTCTTTTTTTTGCTATCGACTGTCAATGACACTTAGCCCTACTTATTTTTTTTATACTAATGGTAGTAATGCACTAAATAATTTTTATTTAATTAAATAATGCACCAAAGAACATAGAATAATACATGCAAAAAGCAAACAATTTCCTATAAACATCACAAGGCTTTCTAACTATGCGACAAGAGCCGTTACAAGTTCATCCAAGCTAGCCGTTAGCTTGTACTAACAGAGAAAATGACAATTCTTTGTTGAGAAAATAACGTAATATAATATGTCATTTGATAGGTGAAAACCTTGGCTTTCTATTGGTTATAAATAACATAGTATTAAATGTAAGAGATAACTATTAACAAATCCTGAAAAAGAGGATGTAACAGGTGGGTGTGGTAAAAGGGGGCTGATTTTCTGTTTGATAGCTCTGCAACCAAAGAAGATTGAAGAGTATAAAAATTATGGTCTGTCTGAGCAATGATGATTTTATAATGAGTAATTTATGTTAAATTTAATATCTATTGGAGGGGAGGTGAATAAATTAGAAAAGAGGTGATGCCTAGAGAAAATATGTCACATTTCTCACACTAGGGGAAATTCAGGATTTTTTAAATATTGCCTTATAAAATTAAGAATTTAAAACTTGTATACTATTAAAATATGGATGATTAGTTATGATTTTATGCTATACTAACTGGTATAGTATAAACAAAAGTAGTTTAATTAAATTTTGAATGTAAGTCACTAAAACCTTGTGACATGCGCAGTAAAGAATGCCAGTGGCAATAGGGTTAAGGTGCTTTTTGCCTGAACGTTCTATTACGGTTTTATGCAGTTCCTTGTGATCCCCAATATGAACCAGTACCATGGTTCATAATATATTTACTAACCAGAAAATCTCCACAGCCTTCATAAAGTACATTTTATATATTTACTTAACTGAAAGATCCCCACACCTCTAGTAATGTACATTTTATATATTTATTTAACAAAAAAAACCTCCACAGCCTTCGTAAAGTACATTTTATATATTTACTTAACTGAAAGATCCCCACACCTCTAGTAATGTACATTTTATATATTTATTTAACAAAAAAAAACCTCCACAGCTCTAGTAATTTACATTTTATGCATTTACTTAAGAGAAAGATCTCCACAGCTCTAGTAATGTAAATTTTATATATTTATTTAAGAGAAAGATCTCCACAGCTCTATTAGTTTAGATTGTATGTATTTACTTATTAGAAAGATCTCCACAACTCTAGTAATGTACATTTGATACTTACATGAATTATCTACACAGTTATAGTGATGTAAATTTTATATTTACTTATCAGAAATACCTCCATAGTTGTAGTAATGTTCATTTTGTATTTCCTTACCAGTAAAATCTCTACAGCTCCAGTGATGTACATTGCCCCAGCCACAGAAGTTGCTAAATAAAATAATATTCCCACAGCTCCACCAAACTCGGGCCCAAGTGCTCTCGATATCATAAAGTAAGCACCTCCAGCTATTGAAAAAAAAGTCATCTGTTTAAGTTCTAAAGGTGACTAATTAGTCATCAAAGAAGTCATTGTATATGTCGCTTGACATTTATATTTTATTATTAAGTTATATAAGTGTTAAAAATTTACAATTTGCCATGATGTATATGCAACTCCTTCACTTTTGATTACAACCTTATGATAGTGTGTCACAAAATCACAACATTAAAATGTTTGGCTACATCATTCTTAACTGTCTCGCTATGGACTCATGACCCCAAATTGACCTTTATAGTTTCCATACTACAACTTTTAATATATTTTGCGTATCTTTATGAAATTTTGCAAGCTTTCAGTAATTATTAATTAATTTCATTTGCATAATCTGTAAATGACTTTAAACTGTAACATGAAAGTACATTTGTTTATCCTAAATAGCTTTAAACTCATAACAGTATACATCTGTTTACACTTAAATTTTATTGTTTTATTACCCCTATGAACTAAGATTAACTGATATTCTCACCATATAATCTGTAATTGACTTGGCAAATGTGTAGCTCACGTAACCCTATCGAATTATATAATGCACGAACTACTGATGAATATACCTTGTGAAAAACTTATTATTATTCTTTATTTTATCTAGTCTAACCTTATCTAACCTAAAAAAAAATTCTAATCTTTACATTTTAGTTACTCTTTTAACAAGAAATAAAGTACTTACCTGGATCACTTTTTTCTTTTTTTTTTTTTGCTGTCGAAATATACATCCCTGCTGCAGTGAAAGGGTTAATGACACTTAACCCTACCTTATTATACTAATGGTACTACTGCACTAAATATTTTTTTTTACATAATGAAATAATGCATCAAAGAACACAAACAATCACCTGCAAAATGCAGACAGTGTCTTATAACTATCTCAGTTTTTCTGGCTTTCTAACTATGTAATAAGAGCCATTAAAAATTCAGCTAAGCTCGTTGATGTGTTTTCGTGGAAATAAAGTTTGAACTATAAGTCAAATAGACAATTTTCTGTACATAAAACAAGTAATATAAAATGCCATTTGACAGATGAAAACCTTAGCTTTATGTTGGTTATAAACAACATAGTATTAAACATCAGAGAACAGTATTCCCAATTTGTGAAGGAGAGGATGTGACAAGTGGGTGTGGCAAGAGGGGTCTGATTTTCTATTTGGTGGCTCTGTAACCAAACAAGATTGAAGGCTATAAAAATTATGCTTTGTCTGAGCAATGACAATTTTATATTGAGTAATTGACATTAAATTTTGTATTTCTTGGAAGGGTGGTAAATAAATTAGAGAAGAGGTGATGCCTGGAAAAAAATATTCACAATTCTCTCTTACTAGGAGAAATTCGTGATTTATTTTAATATTTTCATATAAAATTATGAGCTTAAAACTTACATATTATTGAAATTTGGATAATTAGATAAGTTTTTATGCCACATTTATTTGCATACCATGACAAGAAAGCAGTTTAACTTTTGAATGCAACTCACTAAAACCTTGTGACATGCACAGAAAAAGATGCCAGGAGCAAAAGAATTAAAATATAGGAATATGAAATTTAACTCTTTCACAAAATTAATGATTCTGAAAAAGATATTTGCTTCTTATTGTTGTACATTTCTGATTATGGTTTATAAATGTATATAACTTCATCTATACATAATAGATAAGATTAAGTGATTTGCTATGTAGTTTATAGAATATCTCTTAAAAACCTTTTTAGACAACTGTATATGTTCACTTTGATAAAATTTACATATTTGTTGCTTCTCATTTATTTGTTGTTCTTTCTCAGAAGAATGACACACAACTATCTGTGGCAGATGAATTAAAAACAAATTTAATAAGATAGAATACTGGGTAAGTGAATTAATGTTTTCTAATCACAATTTTCAATGTAAAACTGACACAAAACATTTCTATCTCTATTGAAAGCTTCTCACTGTTATTACTATGAACAAAAAATAATATGGAATTACATAACTCACCAGGAACAATTCCATTAGTGGCAATAGCACTTAAAGAGATGCAGGTGGCAAATGTCTTAAAAAAATTAAAAAAAATACACTTTTCTCAATCACCAATTCAAATATGAACAATTATTTAAATAATTCCTCCTTAACAGCTTCACTTCTTGGTAGGACAAAAAATTAAGAACAAAAAAAACCCTTTGCTTTGAAATATTCTAAAGCTTACAAGAAATGACATAAAACAACTACACCATCAAAAATATGTTAATGGCATAGTAATAATATTTATCATAAAAAATTAAAAATGACTTAACAAATATTCTATATTCTGTATTAATTTTGTCATCCATATGCATTAAAGGCTAGAACAAAAACTTTACTATACCAGTTAAAACATTATTTTTTGCATTCATCATGAAATTCTTTCAAGGAGATTGTGAGCCTATTTTATATAAAAGTAACTGCTATTTAAGAAAAAAAAAAAAAAAAAAATATATATATATATATAAATAAAGTAAATATTCAGTAAAGCTAAACTATAAGTATAATTTTGATGGTAATCCCCTTAACAATGTTATGGAACTAAAGGGTCTTGGTGTTTTTGCTGAAAAATATATATTAACCCTTTCTATACAGGTCACAGGTGAAAGGCCATTTGATCGCATTTGTTGACTCGCATTCAAAATTTTATTGAACTGCTATTTGATCAACTTATGTCAATAAGTTTGGTAGCAAAATGTAGATTATAATTCACATTTTAGTATTATACATTACTCAATTTCTTTACTCTTTGAGCACGGGGCTTCGTCCAAGGGACCGACCTCGTAACCATCTTGTGCTTGTTATAATTTTCATGCTATAACTTTTAAATTAGTAAGCAAATGTTAACGAAATTTGGCAGATTATCAGTTAACATTACAATGCTTTCATACATTTCAAGTTTTAAAGTTTATAAAGCAATGTTTTTCTCGTGTCTATTTTTTCTTTTCATATGTTGCCTATCTATCATGCAAAGTAATATTCATTTTAAGAATAAAAATACTTTTATGCACCAGAAAATTTCGAAATTTTACATGCGAAATCTTTATAATGTCCAGATAGTTATCACACATATCTTAAGAAAGAACTTTATATTTTATCTGTTATTTTCAGTAATTAATCTCTGTATGGATTCAGTAGATTTGACCGATCTTACAACCACCATAAAAAATTAGGAAATAAATATAAGTTATGCCTCTCTCATTCTACAATGAACACAAATTATAACATGAAAACATAAATGTTTAGACTAAATAGCTTAAATTCCATAACAAAATACGTTTATATATATTTATTATTTTTATTATATTGACCTTTCAGCCATACCTGGCTAAGAACACAGAAGTTACAATTACGTATGAAATAACATAAAACTGACCTTTGGTCTGTGCAAAGTAACTTGTCTTGGCTGTGTTTTAGTCAACTAGTATTTTGTAAAATACAGTCACATTTCAATTATTATATATTATATATGTATATAGATTGTTGCTATTTTGAAATAAGTTCTTAGACATATTTTTCCTAAAACATACAACAGTAAATAAAAAAGTAAAGCAAACAATTATCTCTTCTAGTTTTGACCTTTGTACCTGGTTGCTGCTTGATGTAGGTTGCTGAGCCTTTTAGAATTTTGCACGTGATATGAAACAAAATATTTTTTTTAGGTTTTGTATATACATTTGAATAACAAAAAAATCATAAATTACTACATTAATACCATAAAATTCCACTATAATTTATAAAGCTTAGTAACTAAGATGTATTTTAGTCTAAAAAATATGAAATTATAAGCAGACTAAAATATTGGTTCAAAAGAAAAAACGGTGCCAAGTCCATTAAAATGGCTGAGAAAGCCACTATGTAGACATTCTGAGCTTCCGTCTGGTTATTTATGTAATATATAGAAGTTAGTGTATATAAGGGAGTATTTCCAAAAATGGAAAGAGGTAGGTGGGGGTGCCATTGTGTTTGATTTATTACATGAGCAATATCTTAGCAAATTGAAGAGATAAGAGGCTCTTATTTTATATTATAGCTCGTCAATATTGTTAATTTGAATTTCTAATTCATTTGAAACTATAGACTTCGTATCTTGATTTCAAAAACATCTAATTTGAACCAGTGTTGCATTAAATACCCCGTGACACACAAAAATCGATGTTTATCTGTGTTTTATTAATACTTGCTTTTAAATTATGAAATTGAGTAATATCAAGTACTAAAATTTGAATTATAATCTACAGTTTGATATTAAACTTATTGACATAAGTTCATGAAATAGTAGTTCAATAAACTTTTGAATGGGAGTCAACAAACAAGATGACATGGCCTTTCACTCATGACCCATCTTGAAAGGGTTAATTTAAAAGTACAAAAAGTAGTTGAATTAAATTTTGAATGTAACTCACTAAAAATATAGTGACATGCATGGAAAAATATTCCCATAGCATGAGGTTTAATACATTTTGTGTATCTTCATGAAATTTGGCAAGCTTTCAATAAACATTACAAATCTTTTGTACACTAAAAGTTATAATTTACCAACACTGAAAATATACTTCCGAAAGGTATTTAACTGCTCTCACATAAATAGCTATTCTCATTCAGTGCTACCCTCTATAGGCAGAAATGTTTTTTCACATGCCACAAGTCTTGAGCTCCCACGTACCTCAAAACTGATTGATTCAAATACATCTCACATGCAAATAATCATGCAATAACCTTCCACCAGTAAGAGTGCAACACACTCTTCTGATGCATGTGACTCCCTCTATTAAATTATACTAAACTATTATTTCGAGTTTTGACAGAAAATGGAAGCATCTGTTATCAATGGGGAGGTGGATGGGAAGTGTGGAAGGAGTAGATGAGTATGTTAAAATTACTCCCATTTGGATGGACCTAACTGAAGCTATACATCCAATTAATGGTGTTGGTAAAATCCTCCAAAATGTGGAAGTTGGGTAAAATGCAGACCATCTGACAAAAGACATACGGAAACAAGTCCAAAAGGCAAGGCACGAAACAGGTACCAAATCATGTGGTGAAAAAAACCTAAGATATGTGATCAAAGACTACATATTAAAATGGGGAAGAAGACCCAAGATGTGACTGAGGTGGAACCGATTGACCCAGAACTGCAATTAGCATCAAGCATACATGACGAATGGAGAAACACACAGGTATAAAAGGTAAAGGATGGGAAGGTACCAGACATGTAAAATGAATAAAGATGACAATGTCTCAGAATGAAAAAAAAAAAAGAGCAAACCCCAAAAAGTTGGAATATAGCATCACAGATACTCCAAGTGATGTTAAATGTACAAGAACAGTCCTATAAAATGGACTGGTGAAGAAAAAGAACTGACCAAAAATCTTTATTAGCAGTGGATGGTAAACAAATGGTAGTGTCCCACCCTAGAAGATCAGAGAAGCAAAGAAGCCACATGTGGAGGGAAAGAACTGAAGATGGCAAATGCCCCAACATGGAGGGAAGAAGGAGATGGAAGGTAAATATTACCTGTAGGAGAGTTTATTGGGTAATATGAAGCTGACAAACTTGGTAGAGGATAAAATGAATACGATTAACAGTAATCGAAACGACATGTAACCAAGAAGAAATCTGTCTGATGGTAAGCTAAAGCAAAATGAATCAAAGCCAGTGTAAGGTGAGGTTTGCAAGTAACCATACTCAAAAAAAGAGACAAAAATGATCATCATGAAACAATGTCAGAAGAAGAAGAGGAATATACTGTGAAACATGTCTGAAAAAAAAAACTGAGATAGGCTCAGCAGATTCTGCAGTAGAGGTCTGGGAAGGCAATCCATGATTAGCTGGAGGAAAACTGACAAAATCTAGATTGTCTGGAATGGGTTCAGCCATTATAGGAGTAAGGTGAGCAATAACTAATGGTAAGAAGTATAAATTATAAATTAAACAAAATTAATAGTAAGAAGTGTAAATTATAAAGAATGATGAAAAAATGAAATAGTCTATATATTGTAAATGTTAAGAAATTTAGTAGTGAAATAAACATATGTATTAGATGTTGTGCGTTAAAGAAAACAAGATATTGTGTATTAACAATAACATATGTATGAAACGTGATATATGGAAGAAAATCAATATAGTTAAACTGATGATTGATATACAAGTAAGATGAATTACAGGTAATCCTGAAATAAAAAAGACCCAGTAAACCTAAGTGAATGGTATATGACAAAGGATATAACCAAGCCTCATTTTGAACCTGAACTTAACTACGAGTATTGACCAATCTAATGAAACTTATGTTATGGAACCCAAATAACTACAAATAATAATATTAATAATAAAAGTATTCAAAAACTAAATCAAACCAATGTTTTATCTTTCTGGACTGTATTTCAAAATGTGTGGTCCCTCAAACTTGAGTAGAGGCCTGAAGAAGGTAACCTCACTGGGCGATCAGTCTCCTGACTAAGTAAAGCTGATAATTTCCCTGTGGAATACTGTCATCTGAAGCATGTGTAAATGTGCTGATAGAACATATAACCTCCAAAGTGGTAATTTAGAATTAATAATTCAAAATGAATAACCACACAACTGTGTTGGCAGAAAGGAATATAAAATAATTCCACTTTTGAAATAACTCAACAAGTTACAAGTATCACTATTGTATAATAAATAGTAAACTTGTTGAGAGAAATTGATATAAAGATACAAAAAATAAACTTAAAGAGAGCACAAAATAAACGTAACAACATGAGTACTGCCAAACTAGAAGTGGTAGTTCGGTAGAATCAAATAGAGGGAGCCACATGCATCAGGAGAGTGTGTGGCACTCTTATTGGTGGAAGATTGTCGCATGATGACTTGCATACGACATGTTTTTGAATCAGTTGATTGTAAAGTATGTCAGAGCTCAAGGCTTGTGGTCTGCGAAAAAAATTTCACATAGAGGGCAGCACTGAATGAGAATGGCTATTTATGTAGAATAATATAGAATGTTGAATTATAAACTATGTTTTGATGCCAGGCTTATTGACATGCATTGTTATAAAGTAGTTTAAGACCCACCCACAACCACAGGGTTAATGGTAAGAATGGTATGAAAAGGGAACACAAATATACAATATATATATATATAACTTATATACAAAATATACAATTTAGACAATTTTCCTTTTTTAACAGGGTAATTGACCTTTGGAATGAGTTGCTTTCAGATCTAGTGGATATAGTAAATTTAAGTGCGTTTAAGGGTAGGCACGATAAGTATCTGAATGATCATGGCTGGATTTTAGTTGTTTTTATAAGTGAATGGGACAGCCTCAATGGACAAACAGGCTCTTTATTGTCTTATTTGACTTAACAACACAAAGAGATGAAATTTCACAATCTACCACTCTATAATCCCAGGAATAGAAAACACTTATCAATCTTAAAATTATATGAAAATACATAGAATATCAAAAGTGTAACAAAAAACATTTGAACAAACAGTTAAAAGTTAAGCCTCAGCAAGTTTCCACAATAATGAAAGATGTTATTTAAAAGATTTTTGTACAAATAAATGTGTTTCAAATATATAATTATATTTCACATTACATCGTACTATACTCCATAAAAAACATGACTATGGTTTAACATAATATAAATTTTTTCATTCTTTCACGTATAAACATGTAATGCAATCGATGTGAAACTTAATAGAAGGTATCTGCAATTATTCTGAAGTTACTTTAGAAAATATTAGTCAGCAACACTAATAATTACTTTGTTAGCCCATCTAACAAGAGAAGGGCAAAGACAATTATTAAATGGTGAAACCCAGATGACCAAGAAATCAATTTTTCATCAGTTTATTAAATCTGTCTTTTAAAGTTAACACAGACTAAAAGAAGGTAAGGAAACCTGAAAATCTAGAAGAAATGAATCCATAAAGGATCATCAACACCAAAAGAAAGAAGGACCCACAAAGTGGGTCATGTTCAAAGTCTAAATCTAAAATGGACTTCAGACAGTTGAAATAAATGTTTAGCATAAAAAAAGCCAATAAAGTTCAATTGTGATCACATCCAATTTTGAACCACAATTGCTTTTTAATTACTTCACAGCCATCAACTTTTGAGGTTTAAACATCAATCACAAGAGCTTTGTTTTAAAGATCTTATTAACAAAAACTGCTCAATTAAGTATAACCAACACTAATAAAAAAAGTAACAAAATTAAGTTAGAATATGATAATAATTAATAAACTGAAATTAAAAACTGATAAAATGAAATCTAGAGTTATGAGGCTTACAAACTACTTAAAGTATCAGTCATAGTATTTTTGTATAATGCTATTTGGCTTAAAGCTGATACATGTGAATGTCATGCCAAAATAATGCAGATAAACTGTAGTGGATATTCAAGTCACTGAAGGGCAAGTTATTAGACCACAGAAACTGGATCTGTTAACCCGATGACTACCGGCTACTAACTTTCTTAGTAGCTAATGCAAGTCTTGCTATATGTCATTCCAATGATAAAACTATTGGTTAAAAAGTTTTGAAACTTCTTAAGAACTTTCATAAATGCACATAGTTTAAGAAACATAAAGCCTGTTACTTTTGATAAATTTAGTTTTTTGAATTATGATCTTTAATATCTTGGAAAATTACATTAGGAAATGGTATTTATAAGAAATGATTACGATATTTATATTTGTTACAGATTTGAGCTGATTACTCTTTATGTTTTAGTACATTATTTTGCAATCCCAAAAATTTGTATCGCCCATAAAATGCAAATTTTATCTATTTTTTAATTATTTAATAATCACGTACTCTCCTTATGGTTTCAAATAATATATAAGACCCAAAAATAATATTTGTAAATAAACTTAAACAATAACTAAGATTTTATTTTTATATATGTACATAAAAACATTTTAATTTTCTTTCATAAATATATTTTTATTTTAAGTTTATGTTTCATTGCAGTCGTACTTTTGTTTATTGTGCTGAATAAACGTGGGGTCAGCAGCGTGAACTTTGTACATTTTCCTTAAACTATCTCACCCCTGTTGGGGGTCATTCTCATTCAGACCAGTGCGGGCGCATTTCAACATTACTGTAGATGATAGTAAGAAAGCTTTTCGGTACTTGAATATCATTTCTTTGAACTTTCAAACAAGTTTATTTTAACATATGTTTGTGTATGTTGTTTCATTATAGAGACAAAACTATTTGCCACTACCAGCAAATGTATGTAACAGTTTATAGTACAGGTGGTTTCAATAA